GATATAGAATTAGAAAAATGGCAAATGTTATGGGAGAGAAACTATAAATTAACAATGTCAACTTCATACAAAGAAAATTTGTATAAAATGTTTTATAGATGGCACCTTCCATCAGCAAGATTAGCAAAAATGTTTAAAAATATGTCAGATAGATGTTGGAAATGTAAACATAATATAGGCATGTATTACCATATTTGGTGGACATGTGGGAAGGCAAAGGCCTATTGGAAAAGCATACATATGTGGTTAGAAAAAATATTGGGTGAACAAATGGATTTTAAACCTGAACTTTTTTTACTAGGCATTATGTCTGAAAAGATTAATGAGCAGAAATTATATTTAATTCTACATATTACCACAGCAGCAAGAATAAATTTTGCAGAGTACTGGAAGAATGAAGGATTGCCATCAGAAGAAGAAATAATCATGAAAATATTGGAATGTGCAGAGATGAACAGACTAACTATGAGGCTGAAAGACAAAGAAGATATGGACTATTATAAAATTTGGAATTTATTCTATTCTTGGTTAGAGAAAAGAATGAAGGATTAGGAAGTGAACATGTATTAGCTTAGCAAATACCAGACAACTTGTTTGATTGGAAAAATTAACATATGTTGATGGAAAAAAAATTAATAAAAAAAAGATCGTTACAGAAAAATGGCAAAGACAGGGGAAGCTGTGAGCAGGCCAGCCACTGACTTGGACTATGAACTGTCAATCTGCTTTCAAGAATCTGAAAAGACTATTTGTGGTCGAGCTGTTCTTAAAGGACCCCTGCCTGGGGAAGCCCTTGTGATTCAAGTCGATGCCAGCGACCTGGCCGTCGGAGCTGTACTATTACAAAAGAACTGAGGGGGTCCTGCAGTCGTGTGCCTACACCTCAAAAAAGTTCTCTGATTGCAAGAGAAGGTGGGCAGTGTGGGAGAAGGAAGCCTTTGCAATTTGATGGGCTCTATTAAACTGGCAGCACTACCTAGAGGGGAGCAAGATACCTTTCGAAGTATGGACTGATCATAAAAACTTAGAGGCACTGAAAACTCCTTGCAAGCTGTCTCCAAAGCAAGTACAGTGGGCGCAGTATTTTAATCGATTTAACTTCACCCTGAAATACATACCGGGGGAAAAAAAGTTTTTAGCTGATGCTAAAAAGATTGCCTCAGTACAAAAGCCAGTGTGAAGAGGTCAATGAAGCAATCATATCTACACCTGAAGATACATCTCTGATAACGCCATGAAAACCCCACACCCCGATAATCCTGGGACGAGAAAATTAAAACAGGAACTCAACGATCGATGGTTCAAAGACAATCAAACTTCCTTGATATGCAGGGATGGATTGGCTTACAAAGGGGAGAAGTATTTGTCTGAAACCCTCCGCCTCAACTCTCTCAAGCATGGTCACAAGCTGGGCACTTTGGCTATTTGAAAATGCTGCATTTAGTTCGGTGACAATTTTGGTGGCCAGGTTTGAAACAGGACGTAGAGAACTACGTCAAAAGCTGTGCTATGTATACCACCATAAAGAGAATTCTGGGAAAGCCCCTGGACTATTGCAACTGGTTGCAGACCCTTCCCAGCCATGGGAAAAAATTGCTATGGATTTTATAGTTGAGTTACCTGAAAGTAGAGTAAATACGGTGATTTGGACTGTAATAGATCTTTTTTTGAAGCATGCTCATTTCATTGCCTGCAAAGGACTCCCGTCAGCCCAGAGACTGACTAAAATGTTTCTTTAGCACATTTACAGATTGCACGCCACGCCAAAACGAATAATCTCGGACAGAGGGCTGCAATTTAAGGCCAAGTTTTGGAGAGATTTCCTCAAGTTAATTGGCTCATCGCAAAGACTGTCATAAGCTTTTCACCCATCTACGAATGGGGCGGCTGAAAAAGCGAACTCAATGGTGGAGCAATACCTCAGACACTATGTGGATTATCAACAAACTGGACTGACTTCCCTTTTGCAGAGGTGGCTTACAATAACTCTGTTCACAGCAGCAGCAGTTTTACCCCTTTTAGAATTGCCATAGGAAAAGAATTCAACCCAGTACTTGAATATTCTCAGGAACCCTCTGCTTCCCAAATCCTTGACTAATGAGTGAAAGGGTGGAAGGAGGTTTGGAACAAAATGAAAATCGCTCTGAAAAAGGCTTCCGAGACATATAAAAAATAAGCGGATAAAAGGAGGGCTCCCCAAAGGTCATTCCAGGTTGGGGAAAAAGTTTACTTATCCACAAAATATCTACGACTCAAGTTACCTAGTAAGAAGTTGGGCCCGAAGTACATAGGTCCCTTCTCCATCGTTAAGAATCATAAAACCAGTTACATTGGAGTTAAAGCTTCCCAGACTCTTAGGGAAAGTCCACCCTGTGTTCCATTGTAGCCTACTGAAACCCTTTCGGGGCTCTACCTTACAACCTCCCCCTAAGAAGGCATCTGGCCCTCTGGTGGTAGCTGGACAGACCCATTATGAAGTGAAGCGTATTCTTCATTGTAGACTTTTCAAGGGAAAGTTACAGCACTTAGTGCAGTGGAAAGGATATCCATTATCTGAAACCACTTGGGTAAAATCTAGTGTTGTAAAAGCTGACAGGCTCATTAATAAATTCTATGATAAACATCCTAATAAACCAAGAGGCAACCCCTAACCTATGATTTTGTTTGAATTGCAGGATTTGTCCTTTTTGTAAAGGAGGGGGGCGGATGTCAATGCTACTAACATTGGATGTTCCTGCTCTGACAACTAATGAAAATCGCAGCCATTTTCTCTTTTTGATTTTAACATGCTTTTTCTTCTATTTAGAGATTAGGTGCAGAAGGGGGGGTTGGGATGAATGCTGAGTTCAGCTAGCCATAATAATAAACGCTGCTTTGTGGGAACCCAAGGATGAATTGATAATATTTTGGCTTGTCTGAGGAGCTGGGGAGAAAGCCTGTGCTTCAGGCTAATTGGAGAGCGTGATTTATGATTGCTTGTTGGGGATGGGAGTTGCAATTTGTTACTTTGTATCTGGGGGAAGGGAAACTAGTTTTGGGTTCAGCTATGCAGTGCCAATACTTTGTTTCCTGAATAAAATATTCTTTAAGGAAGAATCCTTGTCTTGAACTTCTTTTGATGGGTTTCATCTATCAGAACCATGACAATGATCATATCAACGAAGCTACAAATGAAAAGAATTATAATCCAACACAAACAGGAAAAAATCTACAAGATTTTGATATAAGAATAAAAATGGAGTGGACTACAGAATTCCCTGGAGAATTATTAGGGTTTGGGAAACAGAAACTATATATCCTATCTATTCTATCTTTTCTATTGCCAACAATACTTGCAAAACCACAGGAAATGCCAGGTAAGCAGAATATATCAATTTGGAAAGCTATTCAGCAAAAGAAGAAGGCTAGAGACAGATTCAAGAGATTTGACTTGCCCAGTATTACATGAGTAAACACTGGTTTGAATATGGTTAAAAGAATAGAGAACTTTGAACATAAGAGGGTCCTATAACAAGAGTGATAAGAGATTTAAATAATATAGTATGTTTTGTAATATATGAAATGTAAAAATATTGGGATGACGTAACTTTTATAAATATAAGTGAAATGTAAGCTGATCAGAAAGGATGTTATAAGACAGACAAGAAGCACAGTATTTTTATAATACATGAAATATGAAAATATTGTAATGGTGTACCTAAATGGAAAAATTTGGATATCTAGATGATTAACATTGAGAAAATCATGATAAGAATAATTGAATAAAAGGGGAAATTAAGCTTAAACAAAAATCACAAAAAATAGGATGCATGGTAAACTAATGAGATGATGGTCCATAAGAATAATATAAGCTGAAAAAAATATATATAGATATTATTATTTTGTATAAATATGTAATTATATTTGTTTAAATTTGAAGAAGGAGAATACATTGTTGACTATTAATTATTATTGCCTTTTTATTTTTCTTTCTTTCTCAAATATATAAACCAAGACAACATGCTGTACACCAGACACTGGAGATTGTTATTGTTAAAAACCAATATATATATTTTTAAAGAAGGAATGTGGATTACCCTAAAACATCTCAGCATTCTTAAAATACTTCCGATTGGCTGAAGACGGATTTGCCATTGGGGGAGGGCTGGGATGAGGGGAAACCTTTCTGTATCTTTTGAGCGCGGGAAACCCAGATTTAGCCTGAGTTTACTGCAGCCAACATCTTTTAGTAAAAAACCCTTTCGTTTCAAACAAATGGAGTTGAGGGTCTTTCTTTCCTAAGGGATGAGATTGGGGCAGATCCGACAGGGAAACTGAGAGTTTTAATCCTGCTTTAGGCATGAAAAACGGCTGGATGACTTTGGGTCAGTCACTATCTTTCAGGCCAACTTACTTCCCAGGATTGTTATTGTGGACAAAGGGTTACTGTTGTGTAGGAATAGGGTTGTTGTTATGAAGGAGGAGGAAGGTATGTTCGATAACTTGAGGTATACAAAGGTGGGATAAATAAATAATAAGATGAGGAAATATATTTCAAAGGATTACCCAATGGTCATAGGTTGGTTCACTATGTAAACATCACATTTAGCTATATAATTTAAAAAGTAATTCCCTCTACTGTAGCTCATCCTTTAGTATTACACATAAGCAGGAAATATTTTTATGAAATGTAGAGAAAGTTTGTGAGGCATTTCCTATATAATGCATGTTCTTCAACTTTCATGGTACTCAGAAGTAAAATCTTATTCCTTGTTTAAGGAATATACATCTAAAGCATTTCAATCAAGTATAGATAGTGGTTCTGTCTCAAAAGAAAACATAATCAAAATCATAATTAGTGAAATTTTAAGAGTGAGTAAATGTTCTTAAAAGATGCCAAGACTAAATAATAAAAATAAGAGAAGGCTTAGATGACAGGGCTTTTTTAAAGTGATTTTTCATTTGTCTAAGCCTGAAATTCTGCCAAGAAATATTGGAAGTATTGCAAATAACAAAAAAGATTAAAAGAATTTAACATCTGTGAATTTATTTATATGAATAAAATATATAATTTTTAACACACAACTTAATGGAATTTGAAAAATATTGTTAACAGCTCTCAATCTTGTTTCTACAGAATGTTCAAAATGAAAAGATTCAGGCAGAACATGGTGGATCAAATGACAAAAAAGCAGAATGAACTTGAAATTCTCTGTCATAATCATCTATATGGAACTGTCCTTCCAAAGAAGTATATAATATGCTGTATTTATATACAGAAACACAAAAAGTCTTTAAATCAAACAATATATTTTATCTTGAGTTGTTTAATAGGAGAATCTTCCAAATGAGATTGTTCCAAATGATCAAATAAAGAACGTACAGCTATAATGAAAGAGAGAGATCTGGTATTACATTATGTTTAAATTAAAAATACATTTAGCATTTAGTAAATTATATCATCATTCAATTTATATATTCAAAAAGACAGTAAATAAGATGCAAAGGCTCTATTGAACTAAGAGTCATAAACTTGTAGTGAACTATAACAAAACCATTTCCATAAACATTGTACAATCCAATGTTATACAGATATAACTGTACAGAAATGAGGCAGATGATGGCTTGGCCATTCTTAGTTTTTGGTCCTTTGTTTCTTTTCTATTTTCAGATTTAAGCAGAAAGAAAAGATATTCAAAGAGATATAGGAGCTAAAGTAAAAATTCACAGACCCAACACATCTTTTTATAGTTTGTTCTGAAAAATTATATTTCAGGGTTTCTGTGGAAAAAATGTTATATTTTTTTTAAATATATCTGGAACAGTGACATGCTGGCCACATTTATATTAATCTCTAAACTATCAAGCCAGTTGATTTTAATAATGACCCAGTAAGTAATGTGTTTTACTTACTTTTTTTCTCTGGCTCTGACATAAACATAACTGCCATATCAAATCTTTTGGATTCTGATAATTTGTGCAGAATTTCAAGGATAAGTAAAGGCTCTTCTTTCCTTGTAAGATAAGATATTAGTTCATATCTATCATTATTTTTACTTGTGGCATAAATAAAGCACAACTATATTGACTAAAATGAAATATGCATATTTGAAAATAATACATACAGCCACATACTCTAAAAGCAGCTATATATCAAATATATAATTGTTGCTAAAAGGAAAATAAAAACAAGGCCTGAAAATGACTCCTCTGTACTTTTTTGGATTCCCCAAATTGCAATTGTTTAAATAAGAGAATGTCCTGATATTGTCTTCAAACTGTAAATATGGCATTCCGTTGTATTTGCAACTACTATCTTGTTCTAAACAGTCCAGAGTCACTTAGGTGTAGAAATTTAATGAACAAATAAATAAATAAATAAAATCTGTTCCCTATTATAGATACACAATCATGGAAACATTCCATTTATATTACATAGTTGTCTAATCTTTATTTCCGTGGTTACAGTAAACTTTTTCTTTTTCTGTATACAAATATATAACTTAATTTCAAGTGGTCACTAAACAAATTAAAGAAATTAAACTTCCTCTTAAAAGTAACCACCCCTCTCCTAAGATCCTGGTAAAAATTCAAGAAGAATTATTTTCTTGGTTTAAATTTTTGGCATCTTGAATTAAAAAGGGTATTTACTAGTTTGGCTGGCCTTGGTAAACTATTATTAATCAGTCATAGGCTGCATCTGCTGAATTTTCCAGTATGCACAGATAATGTGATGGAAGACCTTTACAACATCTTTCAAGAGGTAGTCACTGATACCTTCCAAAACAGTATTTGGGTAGAATTTTGTGCTTTCTAGAAATTCAGAATGCTCTGAAACATAGCACAAAAGATGTTGAGATGAGATGCGTCCTCTCTCCTAGATATAAATCTGAAAAAAAAATAATGCTTTCATTTTTTACTTTAAGATGTTATTTAGACGCTCCAAATGTCTCTGGGATGCAATCTTGTCAGATATAAATGAAGAAAAAATTGCCATGGCAACTGGACTTATGGGTCATCTCTGGATTTCAATTCAAAAATGGTAAAAGTCACATAGAAGTATTTCAACAATGGGAACTACTTTTACATAATAATTTACTGTATCTATTTCTTATCCAAATAGTATGAATAAATATTAGCATATTATTAGTATCAGATAGAACAAATTTGTCTCAAGAAATATGCAGCAAAAATATTAAAACTGGTTATTAGCTAAAGGCACAATTCAATCAAAAAATACAATGTAAATTAGTCTGACAAAATAGCTTTAAACTTACTTAGTATGAAAATCCTGCAGAATTTTCAAGATTTGGCAAAAAACTTCTGGATCCAATGATTTTTGGAAGAGGTTAGGATAAAGGGAAGGATCAATTTGCTTAGGAAGAACAAAAAAACAAAACAAAACAGACTAAAAATTGGAATATATATATAAATCAGACCACATATTTACTATTAATAGATTTCATATTCTTACACAATGCTTACTAAAATCAAACAGGATTTATTGTGACAATTAGTATTCAAATTATAGCAGGTTACTATTAATTATCTTGGGAGCTTCTCATTTTCTCAGTAAAGTTAATAATAGCAATCACCTTTCACAGTAAAAGACAATGAATGCCTTTGAGTCACGAGTACTATCCCCATCCAATTCCTACAATTAGCAGACAAAAATGCTGACCATTTTCTGAAGCATATTTCATAGTTCACATCGTAGTGAAATAAAGCTCTGAAGATCTGACCGTGAACTGGATATATGATACTTGGATTCAAATTCATACTTGGTGTAAAGGAATTAACTTCAATTTTGAAGAAAATATCAAAAGTCATTGAAGATGGACTTGAAGAAAAGATTACACAGCCCATAATTTGAAAAAAAAAAGTTAGAAATAAATTCAAAATAACCTTACTTTGATTTTTTTTAGTGTAAGATAGAACAGAAAACAAACTGGGCAGGCTTTCAAGATTCTATTATAATTTAGAATAATAAAATAGAATTTGTAGAATTTCTGCAATGTCTTTTTTTTTTTAACCTGGCCTACTGTGAAGGGCTGATACTTAGTTCCAAAGTTCACCTTAGGTGAACATGGGTGAATTACCCTCTCTCAAGATAATGAACATTGCATGATAACCAGTAATATCAAAAGAAGGTTCAAGTCGGCTTCCGGTGGATCAAGCAGCTACGATGGCTGCTTTTCACAAAGCAGCCCGTTCCTGGGTTGTGTAAAAGCCGCGGGACTTTGACAATCAGCTGTCCCGCGGCTTGAATCTCTTCCCTGGGAGAAAGGGAAGAGAAGAGCTGCTCAGGTAGAGGTAAGAGCTCCCCTGGATCCCCATAATTTCGGGGATCGGAGGGTAGAGCTCCCTCGGAGCCTGAGCCAACTCTGCACTCCAGGACGTCTTTGTCCCGAAGTTCTGAGATGAAGCAAGGCGCCGCTCCCACATCTGCTTTTTTTGGAGGCTTGTGAGTATTCAAATGCAGATGGAGCAGACCAGGAGAAAGTGAATTTAAGATTGATTGTGACTTTAACTCCTGCAAGCATCTTCCCCCCCTTTTTTTGTTTATTTTCCCTTTTGAAGAAAGGGAAAGTGAAAGGCAAAATGGTGACTGTCTTTCTTGTTCAACTTTGTAACAAAGTTAAAAGTTCATGTTTTAAATATAGAGGCAAAAATTTTGTTCCTCTTTCTTTTTTTCCCCTTCTTTCTTTCTTTTTATTATTATTTAAAGAACTGTGATATTATAGAGGCAAGAATTTTCCTCCTTTGAACTTAACAGAATGGCTTCAAAATGTTTGGTCTCTGTCCCTAAAGCTTCCATCTCCTCCCCAATGACTCAGCCTGCTTCTCAGTCTAAACCAAAATCACCCCCACCCTCTCCTCCTCCTGCAATCTCTCTCAAAGACTTACAAGAGGCTTTAAAAATGACTGCTATGGATATTAAAGAGTAGGTAAAAGATCTTATAATTGCAGAGAGGGCTATTACAGAAGAATTATTGGAGAAAAAAAATAAGCAAGTCAGAGAAGACATACTATTTGCGTTTTCAGGTCTTGCCCTGCATATTAAAAGGATTGACGATAAAATGGAAGAGATTACTGAAAATTTTAAGAGGCAGAAAAGATTTTACTTTTCTGTCTGATGAGTTAAAACGTCGTCAAATCCAGTTCAGATGGGAGATTCCAAGAGGAATAGTAGTGAATTATGATGGAATACATTACAGATTAACTACAGTTTTAAAGGCAAGAGATTTTTATCATTCTATTCTAAAGGCAAGACCGTCTTCACCTCCACAAACAAGGATAATTGAAGAGCCCGTTATGGCAGGAGCTTCCTCATTGATGGTCATGGAACAAGCAGTGTTGCCTGTACAGAATCTTGAGATAAAAGATCAAAGGATGACACGAGCTGCCCATAAACACAAAGAAAAAGAGCAGCAGCAGAAGAGTGGCGATAAAGTAGAAGGAATGGTTACTACAGAGCCTGTGGGACGGGCAAGACCTAAAAGATCTTTGACAGTTGATCTTCAGGCTATGCTTCAAAGGCTTCAGGCTGGTGTAGATGGCCAAGTTCCTGACCTGGAATGTTAATGGCTTAAATTCACCTCAGAAATGGAGAAAGGTCTTCTACTATTTGAAACAACATAATAATGATTTGATATGTTTGCAAGAGACTCATATAACTTCAAAGGACTCAAAATATCTGACAAATTCTCGTTTGGGATCACATTTTATAGCTCCAGCTCCAGGGAAAAAAGGGGGTGTTGTAATTTATGTGAAGAAAAATTTATCGGCTAAATTAATTGAGGTTGATCTTGAAGGAAGATATGTCTTTGTGGAACTACTGTTACGAGGCAAGAAAGTTCTTATTCATGGATTATATGCCCCTAATCAACAACAGAAGCAATTTTATAAGCTTTTGCATGGGAAGATATCCCAGTTGGATTATAAATCTGTAATTTTGATGGGTAACTGGAATGGAGTTTTGGATATAACTATAGATAAAAAGAGCTCTTCAAAAAAATTCATTCAAACTAAATTACCCAAAACTTTTTTTGATTTGAAAGAAGAATTGGAACTTATTGACATTTGGCGAGAAAGGAACACAAGTGATAGAGATTTTACCTTCTATTCGGATAGACACCAATCATTTTCAAGGATTGACTTCTTTTTGATTACTAGTGATTTTCTTTCTAGGGTGAGAAAGGTAAAAATCTTTCCCAGGACCCTTTCAGACCATAGTCCTGTGTGGATGGAGCTATACTTGGAAGATGGGAACAGAAGGCCATGGAGACTGAATGAGAATTTGTTTACCCGGGGAGAGTTTGTACAAAAATGTAAAGAGTATTTAAAGGAGTTTTTTGCTTTAAATATGAATAAGGGTACATCAATGCCCATGGTCTGGGACGCCAGTAAGGCATATATGAAGGGAATTTTAATTCATTTAAATAAAGTTTCTAGGGATAAAAGGATACAAAGATGTAGAGAAATAGAAGATGAGATTAAAATAAAAGAAGAAGTGCTTGCTCTTAACCCAACTGATAATAACTTAAAGGTTTCTATAAAGATGCTTAGGGAACAATTTAATATGTTGATGGCAGATCAGGTGGCTACCAATTTGCGTTATATGAGACATAATACTTTTTGTAATGCGAATAAGCCTGGGAGGTGGTTGGCTTATCAGTTACGAAAGAAACAGAAGGCTAGGATTATAGAGAAAGTATAAAGGTACTGAGGTTTTTCAGCAAAATTTGATTAAAAAGAGTTTTTTAGATTTTTACACAAAACTATACGCAAGTGATAATATAAAGGGAATAGATATAGATAAATATTTACAATCAGTACATTTTCCTAAACTTTCTGAGGAACAGCAAAATGGGATGAATTGTTTAATTACTGTGGAGGAAATTGGCTTAGCTATCAAGCAGTTAAAGGTGGGAAAGTCTCCAGGAACAGATGGATTGACGTCGACGTATTATAAAAATTTATATGAAGAAATGTTGGAGCCATTAAAGGAGCTTTTTAATAGTATCTTGCTGGGAGCACAAGTTCCTCCTTCTTGGAAAAGAGTGTTTATATCATTGATTCCGAAGGAGGATCAAGATCTTACAGAGCCTAAGAATTATAGGCCGATATCATTATTAAATGTAGATTACAAGATTTTTACAAAAATTTTGGCAAATAGATTAATGCAGGTTATGAAGGATTTGATTCACAGTGATCAATCAGGATTCATAACAGGGCGATACATGAAATATAATGTTAGACAAATTATTAACTTAATTGAGTATTTGGATAAGAACAACCAGATTCCTGTGGCTTTTATATTTTTGGATGCTGAAAAAGCCTTTGATCAATTAGATTGGCAATTCTTAATTCTCACTGGTAGAGAAAATGAATTTTGGGGATAATTTTTTACATGCACTTAAAGCTATATATCAGCAACAATCTGCTCAAACTGTTGTTAATGGGGCATTGACTGAGACTTTTAATATTGAAAAAGGGACAAGACAAGGATGTCCATTATCTCCATTGTTATTTGTTTTGAAATTGGAGATTTTGTTGATCCAGATTCGAGAATCAACGGTAATCAAGGGCATAAAGATAAGAAAAAATGAGTATAAATTACGGGCTTTTGCGGATGATTTGGTTTTGATTTTGGAACAACTGATTAGAGTGGTTGATTGTCTATTAGAACTTATAATACAGTATGGAAAAGTTTCTGGTTTTAAAGTCAATAACCATAAGACTAAGATATTATCTAAGAATATGTTAGCCAATGACAAGGAAAGTTTGGTTAAAGCCACAGGTTTTCAGATGGTGAAAAAGGTTAAATATCTGGGCATATATTTAACTGCCTCAAATGGAAAATTGTATAAAAATAATTATGAATTACTATGGGCAAAAGTGCAAAAGGATTTAAATGACTAGAAAAAACTGCAATTGTCATTGTTGGGGAGAATTTCAGCTGTAAAAATGAATGTTCTACCAAAGTTTCTTTTCTTGTTTCAGATGATACCTATTTTAAAAAAAGATGTAAATTTGGAGGAATGGCAGAAGGGTATCAATAAATTCATTTGGGCTGGGAAAAAACCAAGGGTTAAGTTTAAGATTTTGCAAGATGCCCAAGAAAGAGGAGGACATAAAGCATCTAACTTGAAATTATATTATGATGCAGCCACCTTAACTTGGATAAGTGATTGGCTTAATTTAACAAATAAGGATATTCTTGTTCTTGAAGGGTGGGATTTAATGTATGGTTGGCATGCATATTTAATTTTTAATAAGAAAGTGGACCGGGCTTTCGAATCACATATTTTCAGGAGTGCCTTACTACGAGTTTGGAAAAAGTATTATTATAGGTTAAACTATAAAATACCT